GGCCGGGCTGCTTCCCTTTCGCCGCTGTCCGTTCACACCTTTGCTCTTTTCCCGAAGGTCTGTCCTATAGCCTCACACTGTCCTCTGACTTGTGCGTGCTCCCCTTGAAAGGCCGTGGGGACCTTCCCGGCCCCTCCCCTGCCTTCCAGGCAGAGGCCCTGGCCTGGCGGCCACTGCCCCCGCCCCGGTCCTGGTGTTCGCCGCTGGCCTGCCGCTTTTGTGTTAAGACGTGTGGCGCAGAGAGGCCCGTGCTGTGGGCCGGCGAGGCGGGGCCCCAGGCGCTCGAGGCCGGGTCCTGGCCTTCCTGCCCATTCCCAGGGGGCCTCTGCTCTGCGGGCCCGTCCCGGGCTCGTGGCCGCCGTGGCTGCTGCTCTCTCCACACACCCACACGGGTTTGTCAGCCTGTGTCGGGAGTCCCGGCTGAGGTCAGGGACCGCGGTGGCTGCGCAGACCGCGGCTGTGGGTGGGGACGGGGCAGCCGTCCCGGCCCGCGGGGGGTGCGGGACACGGAGGAGCCCTGCGCCTGAGCGCTGGATGGAGTCGGCGCGGCCTCCCGCGGGACCCGCTTCCAGAGGGGCTTCTGAGCCCCTCTGCAGTGTGGGGCTCGGTGACGGTGGAAGGGGAAGCGGCGAGGTCTCGTCCACGCGGTGGGCACCTCCCACCCCCCCTTTGTCTTCTTACGGATTTGTGTTCGGGGGATCCGGCTGAGTGGCATTATATTATATTCTAGTTCTCTCGTGGGAGAGAACTGGAGATGGACAGGCCAGAGCTGACGGTTGATGGCGGATAACTCCGAGCCGGAGGGGACAGCCAGGAGTCCTGGGCCCTTGCAGCCCGGGCTGGGCCTCCTGAAGCAGTTGGAGTCGCGTCTTCTTACAGAAACGTTGCCAGGCTGTGCCCTGCTTTTAGAAAATGGGGTGATTTCAAGTTTGGGCTTAACAAGAAGGCGAGTGGTCAGATCGAAGTCTAGATAGTGTTTGTGCATCTGCTTTGAGGACGAGGACACTCTTCTGCCACCTCACGGGACAGGTGTGTCCATACCTTCTGCCAGGTGGGGACTCATGCTGCAGAGAGGCCTGCCCTGTGCCCCCTCCCGGGTCCTCAGCAGCTTCTTTGAGGCGCGATTGGCACAGCTTAGCCCCCAGAGTCGGGCAGGCGCTTGGGGCGCGGCCACGGCTCCCAGAGCAGGTTGCCCCCCCCGTGGGAGCCGGTCTCTGCCCTGGGCTGGGACCCGGAGGGACGCTGGCCCTCTGCGGCGGGGCTCCCGGCCCGGCCGCCCCGTGGGAGCCGTGTGTCCGTGGCTTCAGCAGAGAGTGCTGCTCTGGCGCCGGGAGACGAGCACGTTCCGGCCGAGAGGGTCGGGGAGTGGCACATAATCCCCTCTTCTGAGTCTTTTATGCTTGTGAACTGTGTTTGACTGAGCGACATGCTGGCGAGTCGTGTGTTTGTATTTGTAGTTTCCTGCTCAGCCCCGCGCAGCCCTTTGGCCAGACGCTCCCCGCTGAGTCTCCGGATCCCTGCAGAGTCAGTTTCCGCTGCATCATTGGAAGGGTGTTAGCAGCCGCTTCGTCAGGACCCAGTGGCATCTCTGGGGCTTTATTCTGGGGGGTTTCTTCGACCATCTCAGTTTCTCAGACTGAATTTTCTTGCTTTTCTGTCCGGGTCTTCCCTGTGCTCTGTTGGGACAGCACACACTCGGGGGAGAGCAGCTGCGTCTGTATGGTCGCTCACCTGTCCACGAGCGATGTTCCTTGTCCAGGCCTGCTTGTTTGGGAAATGAGCCATTGCTCTGTGCCTGTGAAGGCACCCTGATCCCTGCCGCCCCCTCTCGCCCCCCAGAATATACTTCAAGCATGCCAATTGAGCTTGGTGGGAAACACCCCTCTAACCGCCGCTGGACCAGGGCGCTCCTGGTGTGTGAGGATGGTCCCGGCGGTCTCTGCGGCCAGACGGCTGGTGGGCGCGGGCCAGTTTCAGCACCCAGCGGCCGGCGGCCCGGACTTACAGGGTCGGACTCGGGGTGCCGGCCGGTCATGCCCACGCTGCCTGGGGCTCGTGGGGTCAGGGCGCGCTCCCCGTCCGTTGGGCCCCGGGGCCCGGGGGCTCCTGCTGTGGCCCTCCCTACGCTGGCTGCAGCACCGGTGCCGGCATCGCTGCCTGGTTTGGGTTGAGGCCGTGGGCCTCGCTTGCCCACGGCGCGTCCACTGAGGCCGCGCAGAGGCGGCCCCTGGGGAGCACGGCCGGGCGCTCGGTCTGGGCACTGGGCTCTCCGGCCAGTCTTCGGGGCAGAGCCGCAGCTGCTCAGGCCCGGCCACTGCGGTATGGCGGCGTCGGGGCACTTCTCAGGGAAAACGCGCGTCTTCCAAGCACCTGCCTCAGCGTCGGGATGCAGGGTCAGGTCCTGGTTGAAGCTGAGCGGGGCGCCCCAGCGCTGCCCCTTGCTGGTCCTGGCTCTCTCGTGGGTTAGGTGAACGTCAGGGACGGAACGGAGTCAGCTGTACCTTCCTCCGTCCCAAGTAAAAGTCACTGCTGAAGGAAAGGAGCTAACTGCTCCGCGGACTTGTCACCCGAGTGTCACCTTTGTCGGCGGGTTATTCAGGCCTGCTGGTGTGCGAGCACTGGGCTGTGAGGAGCTGTTGCGCCCCGGCTGGGCTTGGTTGGCTGTGGGGCCCAGGGGCTGCCGGTCTGGGCCAGCGTTGTCGGGAGAGGGTGAGGCTCAGCAGTGGCTCTCAAGGCCGAGGGCACGCGAGACACTTAATGTCTTGCCAGGCGGAAATTAGAACTAGGTCCGTGTGTCCCGGGAGTGAGGACGCTTC